ATCTGAAAATACCTCATAACATATATAGTAAAAGTGTGGCTCTAGTCACAGAACTACAACAACGTAGACCGGACCATCTAACAGTTTATACAACTCCAATCTAAAGCACTAACATAAAGTGTCATGGATAATCCCCAGGCTCACTCAAATAAGGCAACACGCCCAACATCAGTCTCATCAACAACATAAGCATAAATAGCGGAAAACATAAACAGCATCCATATCCAGTCATGGCAGCAAAACAGCATAATATCATCAACTAAGCTCTGGCCTCCTGCCGCCAGAGGCATCAATCACCAAACTACCGGAACCTGAAATAAGCATTCCCCAAACGTGGGGTGAGATCTCTAAACAAGAAATCTCAGTAAGACAAGGGGTCCTCAAGGATCTTCCACCCCAAGCTCACTTACATGTGCAATATAAGTTTAAAAGCAGTTCATCAATATCATTTCTAAAACAGTGTAATGCAGCAGATAATCATGTCATGTGTGTCAATACTATTCTACTGGCCAGAGAAATACAGGATTTACATACGCCAAATACCCACACTAGTGCAAGACGCTACTTGCATTCACCCCGGATCACCATATCGTATGATGCTACATACTCAGGCTTACCGTCAAGATGAAAAAACACATGCATATTAAAAGCCATTACACATAAAGCTCAACAACATTTCAAATATTCAAAGCATGTAACACAGCATGCATATAACCACACCCCTATGGGACATGGTGGAACCACAACATGACTAAACCGAGGACACGAAAGCTTACCTTGCAAGCTAACACCCAAAGCCAAGAGTCCATAGCTCAAAGTCCAAACACAGCAGATTCACAATCTGTTATGGACCAATACTATATCAATAATAATGCACCAAAAGCATATAATTTAAAGACAACGCCTTTCCTTACGTTTTACGTCTTAAGGCTCCATACCAAGCCATAAGCCCTTAATCACTTGATTCTGACTTAGTTCATTAATTACAGAAGCTCAACTTCATCAATCTAGGATCCACAAACCCCCAATAGCCTACTGTACACACAGCACAGCTACTGTTCTACGAAATCCCAGAATATCCAGATATTCCACGGGACCATATCCAGATATGCAATATCCAGATATCTCACTAGACATATCCGGATATGCAATATCCGGATATCCAGAATCCCATATCCGGATACTCAAAACCCATATCCGGATATTCAATATCCGGATATTTCACGGGCACATATTCGGATATTTCACGACAGAATGCAGAAAATGCATTTCGTGAAGATATCCTTCCAAGGTTGGGTTTTTACCGATTTTAAACACCTAAACATGCATTTCTAGGTGTGTCTGACCAACCCCAACATTAAGTTATCATCTTTTAACCTTTACATGCATCAAGGTTCCATTTTTAAGCTCAAAGACTCAAGATCAAAGGTGATGAAGCTTACCACAGCTCAAACTCAGAAAAAGGGTGCTCTTGGAGCTCACACAACAGCTCCAAGGTTCTGTTTCTCACTGTACACGAAAATGGTGGTCAAGAGTGATCCTTTCACACAAAAGTTCACTCCTTGAAGCTCCCACAACCAACACAAAGCCCCAACCACACCATCACAAGAACTCAGCCCCAAACCTTGACTCACACCAGCTCCCACAACTCAGAAGATGGGACCTCAACCTCCCAAGACACTCACCCAAGTGTTTAATCAACCAAAGAGAAGAAGAAATGGAGCAAAGGTGGCAACTTGGCTCACAAATGGAGGAGAAAGGGTGACAAAGGGGTGGCTGACTTCAAGCTCAGCACACTCACGTAGAGAAAATAGTGGCACCTAGGGTTTAGTGCCAATCATGAGGCTATTTATAAAGGTTTAACATTTAAACGCACAATATTAACTTTAAATGCTACGCTAAGCATTTTAATCTCAAACTCTGGATTCTTAAGCTACTCAATTTTACAAGAATTATCATATTTTTCTTATAATTTTCTGAGCACCTTTCCAGTACGCGCTTTCCAAAGCCAGTACCGGTTTCTAGCACCAGTTCTCATTATTTGGACTTGAAACTCGTTTTACAAGTCCTACATATCATTCTAGTAATTATCATGCACTTATTATAATTTTCCGGGATACTTTTTCGGCACGCATTTATACCGACTAGCAGAACCGGTATCTGCACTTTTCTTCCGAAAAGTGACTTTCAGCATTATTACTCACTTACTATAATTATCAAAGCCTCATAATAATTATTAGGGTCAATTATGGAATCATTTCCTATTTTCTCATAATTTATTAATTAAATTCCTTAATTAACGGTGCGGGTTCTTACAAGGATCTTCTACCCCAAGCTCACTTACATGTGCAATATAAGTTTAAAAGCAATTTATCATCATCAATTCTAAATAAGTGCAATGCAGCAGATAATCATGTCATGTGTGTCAATACTAATCTACTGGCCAGAGAAATGCAGAATGTACGTCTACAACCCCACAATAAGTACAAGACGCCGCTTGTATCCACCCCGGATCACCGTATTGTATGACGCCACATACTCAGGCTTACCGTCAAGATGGAACAACACATGCATATTAAAAGCCATTAACACATAAAGCTCAACAACAATTCATATATCTCAAAGCATGTAACACAACATGCATATAACCATACCCCCATGGGACATGGTGGAACCACAACATGGCTAAAGCAAGGACACAAAAGCTTATCTTGCAAGCTAACACCCAAAGCCAAGAGTCCACAGCTCAAAGTCCAAACACATCAGATTCACAATATGTTATGGACCAACAATATATCAATAACATGCACCGCAAGGATACAATATTAAGACAACGCCTTTCTATTACGTTTTACGTCTTAAGGCTTCTCACCAATCCATAAGCCCTTAATCATTTGATTCTGACTTACATAAATTAATTACAGAAGTTCAACTTCCTCAAACTAGGGTCCACAAACCCATAGATCAGTTCTGGATGAACAGTACGCTACTGTTCCTCGCAAACCCAGAATATCCAGATATTCCTCGGGGACATATCCGGATATCTCACAGGCAATATCCAGATATCCAATATCCGGATATCACTCTGGCAAAATATCCGGATATCAATATCCGGATATCCATATTCCCATATCCGGATATCCATATCCGGATATCCATATCCGGATATCAATATCCAAATATTCCACGTCAAATATCCGGATATTTCGCGACAGAATGCAGTTTCTGCATTTCGCGAAGATAACCCTCCAAGGTTCCATTTTTAACACTTCCAGAAGCTTAAACATGCCTCTTAAGGTTCATTTATGTTCATATGACAGTTGGTTACTTGTTTAATTCATTAAACATGCCAAGACACCTCTTTTACTCATCAAAACACATGATCAAGGTTGGTGACACTTACCAAAGCTCAAAACAGAGCAAGAATGGCTCTTGGAGCTCACCACACAGCCTCTACAGTTCTGACTTGTACCAAAATCGAAAATGGCAACACAAGCTATGCCCTTTCTTCACAAAGGTTGACACTTTGAAGCCTCACAAGCAAGGAACAAGTCCCCTCAACCCTCAAACCAACAAGGTCAGCACTCACACCCCACTCACAGTGTCTAGAAACTCAGAATATACACCCACACTCCCTCTCCATGCAAGCTCTCAAGTGTATGCAAGCTCAAGAATGAAGAAACCAAGTAAAAAGATGGCAACTTGGCTCACAAGAGATGGAGGAAGGCAATGGAGCAGTGTTTTCTGGTCAGCCACCAAGAAGACCCACGTAGCAACAGAATTCTAGGGTTGTGTGCCCAAAGAAAGAGTATTTATAGGCCACTTAAAGGTTAAACACACAGTATTAACTTTAACTGCTATGCTTAGCATTTTAATCCCAAACTTTAGAATCTGAAACTACTCAATTTTACAAGAATTATCATATTTTTCTTATATTTTTCGGAGCACCTTTTCGGTACGCGCTTTTACCAAGCCGGTATCAGTTCAGACACCAATTATCATTATTTTAACTTGAAAATAGTTTTCCAAGTCCTATATATTATTCCCATAATATATAATCACTTTTAATGATTTTCTGGGATACTTTTCCGGTACACATTTATACCGACTAGCAGAACCGGTATCTGTACTTTTCTTCCGAAAAGCGACTTTCAACATTATTACCCACTAGTTATAATTATTAAAGCCTCATAATAATTATTAGGGTCAATTATGGAACTATTTTCTAATTTCGCATAATTACTTAATTAAATTCCTTAATTAACGGTGCGGGTTCTTACAAACATGCTATAACAATGTACGAATTTGCAGTAATACAAATAATTTTTGTCATCCATGATTTGAGATATACCCAGAAGCTTTTAATACTGATAAATCATTTCTTGACTTTTAGATCAGTTTTAATAATTGATAAATACTATAAAAAAAACAATTAAGTTTAAATTCAAGAATCTTTAATGAGGTTTTAAACATAAAAAATGATATTAATCATAAATGATTAAATATTTTTAAAAATGTTTATGTTAAATATTTTTTAAAAATTACTTGTACGAAATTCGTTTCTCTTTTTGTACTATATTTTTCGAATTGTTTTATTTTTTTTAAAAAAATTCCGGAATATTTACTTTTTTTTAAAGGATGTTGGTTTTAAGGCTAATTATGATAAATTTATTTAGAAGATGAAAAGCTTCATATACATGTATTATATTTTGGAATTGAAGAGCCACAAATTTCTCTTCTGGTTCATATTCTCAATATGAGCATGCAAAACAGAGCTTTTCAATGCCTAATTAGATTGAATTAGGCTAGGCACTTATACAATAGGCACAAACAAATTGAAAAAAATTAGAAGGATAAATTAATAGTGATAATTATAGAAACAATTCCTAAAAGAAAAATTATTTTGAAACTACTGGTCTAGCATCTAGCACACTTCGAATATCCTTTGAAGAAATATAAGATGGTTTTATGAGGGTCACAGTAGTATCATCCTTATCCAACTCTTCTACTTTGGCCATTGCCTCCAAACTGAAAGATCATCTATATGGAGTTGCATGCATCTGTTTCTCACCCAATGGTTGGTTACACCTTAGGAATCTATATGCTTGTCTTGAATTTTATTACTCACTGCTTCTTACTCATTATATAGTATTTTGTCTAAGGAAAAGCATCTGGTATCTGTTGGGGGATATATTTACCTTTGGGACTGGCGGAGTGGTGAGTTGTTAACAAAGCTTCTAGCAACTTTATCTTGTTCTACTGTCTCAAGTGTTAGCTTCTCATTAGATGCAAAATTTATTGTAACTGCTGGGAAATAGCACTTAAAGGTCTGGGTAGTTGGATCATCTAGAAGCATTCAACTAAATGGAGGGATGAGCAGGAAGGCATGATTAGTGTTGAGATATATAGTCCCACATTGGTTGTATATGCAACTAATGTGGAGTTTATAAAGTCTTGGGCACTCCCACCCTTTGAGCTAGCTTTTGGGGTGGTGTATCCCAAGGTTCTTTACATGGTATCAGAGCCTCGTCGTCCCCCACTTTCTCTTGTCGAGTTTCTTAGCACAGGTAGGCTGGGTCTGTTGCATTGTCCACTCTTCAAGCCCAATGGGCTCTCGTGTCAGGGGGCGTGTTGAGATATATAGTCCCACATTGGTTGTATATGCAACTAATGTGGAGTTTATAAGGTCTTGGGCACTCCCACCCTTTGAGTTATCTTTTTGGGTGGTGTATCCCAAGGTTCTTTACAATTAGCAATACATGAGATGCATGCCAATATTTCTATTCAGAAAGGAAGCTCTTTTACATCTATTTCTTCTTATGTAAACAATATGACGGCACTTTGAATCTGTCATTGTTCCTTTCTCAGATAATGTGACTTGTTTTAGTTAATGGTCCACAGCTCTATTCAATCTTGCTATTGTGTTTTTTGGTAGTTAATCGTCGGCTGCAATGCAACTGTTTGTATTCTGGTGTTAAAATTGCAAGTGATGGAAATTATTTTATTGACTGTATGTGATAACATTTATTTGTTCAACTTATTTCCTTTTATAAGAAAAAACTGTTTAATTTGTTCAGCTCGTCTCATAAGTATACTTTAGACAGATAATTTTAAATTTGATATTAATGCAATAACTAGGGAAGGGAGAAAGATATAATGAGTGAAGAGAGAGAGATGGATTACCAGTGAAACATTTGACCGGTAGATAGGTAATCAAGAGATGAGAGGAAAAAGGATCTGAAGGATTATTTATATTTGGAGCTGTCACATGTTCAATTAGTTTTTCTTTTTATACATCAAGGGTTATAATTCATGTCATAAAGATTCCAAATGAGATCAAATTACCACTTCACTTATATGTGTATAAATTTTCTGCTCCTAGTAAGTTTGGTCACTATTGGAGCTTTATTTGGAGGAAGCATTTGCTTGGCATGATTTTCTACCTTATCAAAGTCCAATCCTCCACCTCAATATTAGTAATAATAACAAAGGGCTTGAGCTTTTAGTATTCTATCTTGCAACCTTTAGCTCCTTTTATCCTTTAAGACATACGAGCAATGTATTAATCTTTTCATCGACTGCAATGATTGCTGAAGTTGTAAATTTGCATGAAATCTAGACTCCTTGTCTTCTTATTTTTTATTGTCCCCCTGAGTTGCAGCCAGATATTGGCTCAGGCACTAAGATGTATAAATATTGGTGGTTTATTATTTTATTTTATTTTTCTTTCATTCATACACTAGCATTGATTTGATTATATATTTTTAAAGAATTTCTTATACTTGACTATTATTCGTCCAGAGTTGATGCTTTGTTTGGTACTGCTTTAACGCTAGAGGTAATGATTTCATATTAGTTTATTTTAATGTTGAACTTCATGTTATTAGTTTAAGTGCCGTATTCTTTTAAGCACCCTAAAAGGGTACAATAAATTGGTTTTTCACAGGATGGAGGAAGTGAAGAAGCTATCCCAACACGCGGAAGATCTTCTTTAGATAGTAATCACCCTTGAATTGGGTTATGTGAATTCAATATTTTTGCTATGATTTTGGGTTCTGTAAAATGATAAGTGCATAATTAGAGACTCGTATGGATTTTAGAGTTTTAAAATGGATTTATTTTATGTTCTTGTTGTGGATAATTGTAAATTTTCTACTCTTTCTCATTTACACAACATTGAATAAACTGTATTTCTTTTATGAATGTGTAAAATTATAGTGAGGCATATTCTACTCTGAATGTTGTTATGCCCTTCATTAGATAAGAGAATATTATGTAAGTTTTTGTTTTGCTAGATATTAGTTCAACTTCATATTATAGTATATCGGTGTTAAAGTGTATTTATATTTTTACTTATGTAAAAAAGTATTAACCAAGTGCAAACATGAATATGAACTATGATTGGTGTGCTATAGTGTTGCTTTTGGATAACTAGTATTTAATAATTATTTTCAAGGAAATGTTAAGAGATCAAACAAATAAATAATAAATTGGCTAACAAATCAATTGATTGGGCCCAATTCCAAAATTATGATATACAAATCTTTCAAATTTGGATTACTAGTATTTAGTGGAGGTTTAAACCTACAAAAAACAAATTATAGCAGTCTATGACCTCCTGAAAATGATAAATGTTGTGGGGGTCTTTGAAAGACGAAAAGTCAAACATATTGTGGAGGTTTGTAAACCTCCAGAAATAATAAAACGTTTGTGGGGGTCTTGAATCTACAGAAAGTGCAACATTTGTGGTGGTCTGGAACCTCCAGAAAATACTCAAACAAATTATTGTGGATGCCAAAACTGGGGGTTGTTGTGGATGCCACAAATATATTTTGTGGGGGTCAAAAATCCTCACAATATGAAAATATGACCCCCACAAAATGCCTGAATTTTTGTAGTTTATACCATGACTTATGTATAAATCAGAATTTAAGTTTGTTGTTAATTTTTTTCTAGACGGAGTCTAAAAATAATGTAAGTGAACGTATTATGTAACTAGGAGCTTATTGTATGGTTAGAGATAAGATTTTTTTTTTTCATGCCTACTTTACATACTCATCTTCTACACTATTAGATCAGAATTTCAAGTAACTTTCATTTTTTCTCCCTCCTCTGGAAATTCTTATCCAATGATTTTAGAGATGAGTAGATATGTAAAAAAATAAACATAATATCTTAACCCGAATAATTATATCTTGGATTAAACATTATGCCTTATATAAACTGATTTGAGTTCAATTTAGCATTTGAAAATTTTTATGTCTTATTGAATAATTGTAGTTTTTATATTGTTACATGGCTCCCTTTATTATATTCCTTATTATTTGTGCAAGTTGTATATTATTTCATATATTTTTTTTCAAATAATCATTTTTATTATTTGCTGTACCTTGCGATAAAATAATGGACTATAAACGGAGGAACAAATTAGAAATTTTTGTTGCGTTGATTTAACCATAAAAAAGTTTTGAATATTTTAAATATATCTTGAAAATAACTAGACCGAATCCATTATTTTTTTAATAAAAAGAAATAGCAAAAGCCCTTAATTCAACACACCCCTTTAATTTCTTTTTCTTTTTATTTCTTTAAATTTTCAATTTTACATGTGAATTATTATTATTATTATTATTAACAAATGCTAACAATTCAAATTTATTAATATTTTGTAACAATTAAGCTAGAAAATGCTAATATTACCAGTGTAGAGAAGAAAAAAATCGAAAGTTGTGTACTGTTTTTTCTTAGTTTAATAATTAAAAATCAATGTGAATCGACATTTTTGTAATCAATCAATAATTTTTTGTTCTGATACTTTCACAATATACAAGTGCTCAACTCGTATAATTTAATTTTGTATTTTTCCATATTTTAAATAAAAACTATTTAAGATATAAATTATACTTAAATAGATAAAAAAAAATTATAAAATAGAATAAGAACGTTACATAACCAGCTGCTCCAGCTGTGTTATTGTCATAACAGAAAAACCATAAAGCTTTCAAGAAACCAAACTCCAACTGTGTTATTGTCAACAATGGCATACGACAACAACGTTGGTCTCTGTACTCATTTATCACTTGATAGGTGTCCTTGTAATACAATGGTGTGTACTCATTTGTCTCTTGGTAAGTGTCATTGCAACACAACCAATGAAGATGACTCTGTTTCTTTAACCAAGAAGAGGAAGATTTCTGAAGAAACTTCTATTGCTGCAAGAAAGAAGGTTTGTGGAGAGAGAAGTTGGGGTTACTCAACCGATTTGATGTTTTGTGATTATCCCTGGAAGATCAAGAAAGTCCTCAATTGCAGTGATCTTGCCAACATGAGCAGGCTCTTGTTCTCTAAAGATTTGGCTGAGAATTTGGTGGTGCCGGTGTTGGATGGTGATGTTGAAAAAGGTGTTCAAGTTGAGATTTGGGATGTGGACACTGCCTCCATTCATTCTTTAGTTTTCAAGAAATGGGTTTCTTCAAGAAGCTATGTTTTTATTGGGAATTGAGTTAAAGATTTTGTATCAAGAAGAGGCTTAAAGAAAGGGGATGAGATAGGCCTTCAGGATCCATACAATAATCGCTTTGATTTTTCTGTTCTTGATGCCATTTACCATTGATAGCAATAATATGATTCCTTTTGTAGAAAGGGTGTACTGATATTTTCTCTTGTTCTTATTGGTTTGTGCAATTTGAATTTTTTAGATTGTAAGAGCAATCTGAATATATGGTTAAAATTTGTTAAATGTTATGATTTGCAAATTTGAATTGCAATTAGAATTGCTCCCATAAGAAAGTTAATCAAATAACAGAATCACCTTCGCAACTCAATTTGCTCATCAAAAGCATGTCCTTTAATTCCATTTAATACTGTTTTTCGCTTTGTATCCACTAATAAATATTGCCAAGTATCATAATTGCATTAGCTCAGCAAATAGTAATAAGGGTCTTTTCTTAAACCACAATACGATGACACATTTGTATCCAATTTTTACACACAAATCGGTGGGTTATATCTAATTTCTAATTTCTCAGCTGCTGCAGAAACGTATGGGGATTGAATGCCACCTATCATTACTTCTTGTTGCAAAATGGATAGGAAACAGACTATCTGATAATCACAGGAAGCTTAGAAACTTCAGTGCCAATCTTATTGCTTCAGTATGCAAAAGGTGTGAACTTTATTTCAATTAAATGATAAGAGTATACTAAGGCAGAGCTCATTTAATTATGTTGCTAACTTAATACTAGCCCTTATGACTTTTCTATATGGGCATTTGGTGCATATTTGTACAATGTGATTAGACTTAGATTGCTTCTATAAAGTATGGTTTCACTGTATAATTCTAAATGCTAATTGCTGGCTGTTGAGGCTGTTAGTTTTGCTATATTCTAATGGAACACTATATATAGATGACTTCATGGTCTAACTGCATTGATTGCATAACATATCCCATAGAAAACTATCCAAGCCCCTGACAATAGTACACTTTAAGTGGAATCCCAACTTACACTTACAACATTTATTTATTTTTGGATACAATGGAACCTAATACAAACAATTCAAACCAATTCTAGTGGCTTTGACATTTAATTTTAAGTTGGCTTTTCCTGCTAATTTAAGAATGCATATCCCTTTTAGTGGTTTAAGAAGCATGAATGTTTTCTTACACCTTTTGTCATTGAACTGATGGGCTATACTAAATATAGTAAAATTAATAGTATACAATAATAAGAAATTTTGAGAATATCTGTATCATTTATATATTTTGAATTCTTATGTTCCTAGTCTCTGGAAATTTACAGATACGGGCATACATATCACAATCTTCAGCCCCGGGTGACAAAGACATTTCTTCATTCTTTCTTGGACCCTACAAAAGCTCTAACTCAACACTATGGTGCCATTAAGGGGATAGCAGCTCTTGGATCAAGACTGGTATCTTCTGACCTTAGTATTTTAATATCAGTAGAGTTTTGCTTTAGATAACTAAAATGGTTCCCAACTTAATTACTCTTTCCATGTGACATTTAATTTTAAGTTCTGATAGTTATAATCTATCTTTTCTTTCCAATTAATGAAGGTAAACGCAAAGTCAGCAAAGTCAGCGCAGACAATCTAATGCAGCATCAACAACCTCCCCTCAAGAAAATTGCAACTGATGGTTCTGGAATTATAGTACCTACAAGGATGAAAAAAAACTCAAATAAAATCTGCTTGCTATTTTTAAACTCAAATCAATACAAAAAATTCAAATTGAACAAACGAAATCAAAGCGATTTTTAAACCATAAATTCTGCTTCAGAATAAGAGAAAATTATCACTACATCTTTTTCTACACATGAATCCTAATACTGTTATCAATCCTAAAAGGCATCAAGAACAGAAAAATTAAAGCGTTTTTTGTATGGATCCCAATGAAGGCCAATCTCATCCCCTTTCTTTAAGCCTCTTCTTGATACAAAATCTTTAACCCAATTTCCAACGAAAACATAGCTTCTTGAAGAAACCCACTTCTTGAAAATTAAAGAATGAAAGGAGGCAGTGTCTACATCCCAAATCTCAACTTGAACACCTCTTTCAACGTCTCCATCCAACACCGGCACCACCAAATTCTCAGCAAAATCTTTAGGGAGCAAGAGTCTGCTCATGTTGCCAAGATCACTGCCATTGAGGACTTTCTTGATCTTCCAAGGGTCATCATAAAGCATCAAATCCAAAGAGTAACCCCAACTTCTCTCTACACACACCTTCTTTCTTGCAGCAGCAACATGAGTTTCTTCATAAATCTTTCTCTTCTTGGATAAAGAAACAGAGACATCATCAGCGTCGTATGCCATTGCTGAGAGGTTTTTGTTTTGGTGAATTGGGTTTTGGTTTCTTGAAAGCTACAAATGTTTTTCTGTTTTTCTGTTACCGGTCAATATATATAGAAGCTGCCACTTCACTTTAAATGTTTATTTTGCTTTATAATTTTAACATTTTTTTTATTTTATTTTATTTTTTATGTATATAGATATAATTTTTATTTTAGATAATTCTAATTCAAAATATAGGAAAAATAAAAAATTAATTATAGGACTTGAGCATTTGTAATTTTGTGAAGATATCAAAACATAAAAAAATATTGACTGATTATAAAAATATTAATTTACGTTGATATTTAATTATTAAACTATGAAAAAT